AAGATGTTTGCCATATCTTTCCCCACTCTCCTCCAGCCACAGAAAGGCCATGGGAGGTGCTGCAGCATCTCAAGGAGTGTTGAATGGCCAACTGTACTGTATTCCACATGTGGAAGAATTATGCTATGGGTTTTCTGAACGTTTCAGGACCTTGCATAGTTGTTTTCCACCATGGTTGAACTGATGAGTCACATAGGGTTTGTTGTGTTGCGAAACCATTTGCAAGACCAGTGTGCCAAAATCCAGCAGAAAGGTCAGCCCTTCTCAACTATCACACTGCCATTCTGAACACGTTGATCGGTTTTGATATGAAGGTGGCCTTGGACCTAAGCGTTGAGTTACATACTATTAGTGTTACTCTTAGAGTTTGCTCTGGCTTCCATAGCCATACCTTTTCCTAATTCTTCTCCTCCCTTGGGAATGAAACTCTGTCCAATCTGTAATAGTCACCAGTGTTATGGATCAGTCCTAAAGTCAGTTGAGAGAGATACTTCTTAGTCTCAGTGTACACACACTTCCCATAAATGCAATTTCTTGTATTGCCTTTCTAACTTATGGCGAACCTAGCACAGAGTTTTCTCAGCAAGATTTGTTCAGAGAATGTTTTCTGTTGCCTTCCTCCAAGGCTGAGAGAGTGTGACTTGCCTAAGGTCACCCAGTGGGTTTCCATGGCTGAGCAGGGATTTGAACCCTGGTCTCATGGAGTCATATTCCAACATTCAAACCACTACACCACACAGCCTCTCCACAAATGCCACGATTCCCATAAAAGTCTCCCGATCGATGCTGGCCTGTTGCATTAGGAGTGGTGTGAAACAATGCATTCAAGAAGTTGCATGACAAAGGTGTGTTGTATGTGGGGTGCACAAAGGGGTGATGGATGTTGTGCCCACCTTTTTTAGAAATGCAGCTCTTTGGGGGAACTGGATTGAACGCCAAAGCCTATTGTATTCAGAATGCTGGAAATCCAGAGATGAGTCAGGAAAGCTGATTTAATCCATTAATAGCCCAGGAAGAAACTCTTTGAGTTTCTGCAGCTGTTCTCACATCCCTAAACTCTCCTTACACCTGGCTGATGGAATTTGGTATCTGAGCCGCCGTTGAGAGTTCACAGCTGAGAGAATGTCCTAAATATTCTGTTTAGGGCATAAGACGAAAAGTGGTAGATCAGGCCAAAGCACACAGAGACACCAGTCCAGCATGCTGTTTCCAACAGTGGTCAGTTAATCCTTTGTTGTCTCACTTTCCAGTTGCTTTTAAAATGTCTTAGATTCTCTCTCCTCCTCCCACTTTCCCACTTTGGCCTCAGCTTCGTTGAATTGCTGCAAACCCAAGTTCCAAGTGCAAATGTTGTTGTAGTTGTTGTGTGCCTTCAAGTCATTTCCGACTTACAGCGACCCTAAGGCAAACCTATCACAGGGTTTTCTTGGCAGGTTTATTCAGTGGGGGGTTGCCATTGCCACCCTCTGAGGCTGAGAGAGTGTGATTTGACCAAGGGCACCCAGTGGGTTTCCATGACTGAGAGGGGAATCACACCCCAATCTCCAGAGCACAAGTCCTACACTGAAAGTATTGCACCATGCTGGCTTTTGCAAAAGTAGTTTGCACTCCATCAGTTCAGCAGAGAGGAAAGGAAAGGAAAATCTTGCCCTTCCCTGGAGGCTCAGGCAAAAGCAAACTTCTGCGGCTTCTCCTAGCTTATGTGTTCTTCCTCTTTGTCCATCTCTAGACCACAGTTGAATGTTTCTGGGTCACACATGTCCTGGTTTTCATCTGTGAAATGGTGGAGGTTCTGCTTTTGTAGGTTTAATTCCTCTATGGAGACATGCTTATATATATGTGTGTGTGTATTAAAGGATTTGTGATCGCTTTGGAATTATGCGGGTGACGTATTGAATATTAAGGTACAGTTCATCTTTCTGTGGTCTGCATTTTGGGGAATATAATGGAGGATCAATATCAGGGCACATTCAATGTATC